ATTTGTCGTTTTGAGTTTTTTTTTTGTAAATTTTTAACTTGTTTTCAAAAACGAGTTTTCAAAAATAGGAAATAGAACGTGTTTTCACTATTTTGAAAAATCGAAAACAGAAAACGGCTTGAAAATAGTAAAGAGAACAAACCCTTAATGTCCTAGTTAACATGACTATTAATGCTAACTTGAAACAATTAGAAGGACAAAAACCAAAATGACAAATTTGTCATTTTGAGTTTTCTTTGTAAATTTTTAACTTGTTTTCAAAAACGCGTTTTCGAAAATAGGAAAGAGAACGCGTTTTCACTGTTTTGGAAAATCGAAAACAGAAAACGGCTTGAAAATGGTAAAAAGAACAGACCCTAAGTTCCACTCGAAAAATTATTTGNTGTTATCTTTGACATTTTGAAAACACTCAAAACGCGTTTTGCAAATTTTGACTTGATTATAACTGAAAACACTCAAAACGACAAATTTGTCGTTTTGGGTTTTCTTTGTAAATTTTTAACTTGTTTTCAAAAACGCGTTTTCGAAAATAGGAAAGAGAACGCGTTTTCACTTTTTTGAAAAATCGAAAACAAAAAACTATTTGAAAATGATAAAGAGAACAGACCATTAATTTCCTAGTTAACATGACTATCAATACTAATCGTGCCATAAAATGTTGTAATACTAGCCTTCAGTTATAACATGGAATTAAATTGAAATATTATATTTTATATTTATTATTGTTGCCATTTACATATGTCATTGTTATTAGACATAAATATTATGCTAGTCATAATTTGCTTTAAGCTAGCATACAAGGGGTTACTTATACTTTGTATACACATATATGACACGCTAATGTTTGGTCTGCCCCCAAAATTATTTTCAGCAACACATTTTATAGGATTCACAACTTTTATCAACTTTTAACTATATATTTCATTAAATTTTTATCAAAATCTATTAAAAATTTGATTTTTATCAAAATCAAATAGGGACAATATCTTTTGGGATTCTACTTCATATATTTGTCTTTTGGAATACATTCAAAGGCTTGTTATATATCTCCTCGTGATCGAGTATATGTACATTCAAAGGCTCGTGTTCGTCTAGAGTTTTGAATTTTCGTCGTAGACAAGATTAGATCCTATTTTTA